AAAAAGTATCCATTAGGGGAACATGCCTGAAAATTTACTTTATGAGGAATTCAACAAAACGGCTCTTTTCTCTGTAATCTGAATATCTTTTGTCACAGATGTATCTAATTTTGAAAAATTTTGAGAAATAATACAATTTTTGACTCAGAAAAGGCAGTAATAACATTTAGAAATTAGTGTACATACTAATTTTCCCAAATAGACTAAAAAAAATTGAGATATCAGTAGTTGAAATTGAAGGAAATTTCACTATTTTGACGCGTTTTCGCAGTATCAACCAGGCAGGTTTTGGATTATTAATGACAGTAAATCCTTCAAAATAATCAGGCAATTTTAATTTGTGAGGGATCACATCAATCCTCTCTGTAGCGGTTTCATATTGCTGGAATACCCAACATTAGCACCGAAAAAGCTTTCACAGATTCGACTGCAGATTTACACCGGATTATATGTAAACTAATACATGTTCTTATCTTAGTTGAATAAAAATGTGGGTGGAATGACTCATATGGTAAACATATCCAAGGCCTAGCTGAAGTCATTAAATACCATGTTCAGATGAGTAGTTCAGTTAACCAACTTTAGATGGGGTATTCTGATACAGAGTAGGCCAAAAGTCTGGGGCCACCCTCTGGATTTAATCATTAGTAAGCTTCATACCTTGTTTGGTTCAATTAACTCCTACTAAATTAGGATACTAAAACTATTTAACCCATTAGTGCATAATGCCCAACTTTTAAGAGAAAAGCTTACCTAAAATTTATAAATCCGCCAACCCTGACATTAACATTAGCCAGCAAGATAGATTAGGCAAATAGAGATTACATTTTGAGGAAGCTTTATTTGGTAGTAGGTTAATTTCATTACTATTAATGAATATAAGATAAAACCCTTCAAGAAGAGAAAATCCCTCAGACCCAAATTGAGCTAGTAAATTAGATTTTAAAAAGGCATGCAACCTTCAATTTTTTTAGGCAATTCTTCAAAATCCAGGCGTGGCTCCCAAGCTTTTAGCCTATAGTGTGTGTGTGTGTGTGTGTGTGTATATACACACACACACACAAGATATATATATATATATATATATATATATATATATATATATATATATATATATATATACACATACCGGGTGTAACAGCAAAATTGTTCAAATCATATAAAAGCAAAATTTTCAAATTGTCAGATTAAGCTTTGAACTGTTGTATCTTACAAATGATTAAAGATATCTTACTGGAATTTTCTGAGTTTTTATAACACTATTGAACTTTACATTGAGCAATAAGAATGTATAATTACTATCCAAGCTTAGCACAAAAATCATGAGGAAATCAATCATAAACGAAAATGACATATTCATCATTAATTAATCCGAGCTAAGAATTGGAAGCTCTTGAAAGAATGAAATAAAGTTCAAATATATATTATTTCAGGATCATTTTCCAACTTATTCAAGATGATCTTCATCCTCTCTAACCTTCTAACTTTCTGTCCTTTCTTTAAAAAACACCTTTAAAACGAGATGTTTTTGTATTTTTCTTTCTTTTTTTTAAGAAAACATTTAAGTACCTACATCGTATTTTCTTTTATTTTTCAGTTTTTCTCCAGGCTCCTCTTACAACCAAAAAGTTCAAATTTGGATTTGACTATCCACAGGACATTTTGCTAAATTATGAATATTTTTTATGAGAAACATTATATTTTGTTTTCACCATTAACCCCATAGTAGACTTTTTAAGATTACCAAAATTTTCAACTAATTTTAATGCAAATACATATTCTAAATGTTAACTCAGCACTGATAAAACATTATGCTATTATGTCAGTATTTTCATAGGTTTTATGTTATTTTATTTTGAATTTTGAATTAATTTGCACAAAGTGGCAAAATCAAAACAACTAATCACTGAAATGAGGGTACAAATTGAAATTGTCTACACTCAAAGACAAATTGCGAAGAAGTTGATGATTTTTAGGCATATCCATTACAAAGGCTGCTAGTAATTGGTACAAATGTTAACCGAAAAAGAGCTGGAGCACCAGAACAGACAACTGCTGCTGAAGATAAAGACTTGTTTATTGAGAGTAAAAAAAACAGAAGGAAAATTGCTCCAGAGTTCAGAGTAACTAGTGTCACTTTCAACTGTGAAAAATCAACTTTGATCAGTGGGGTGCAGGGGCGTAAATAGACATGAAGAAACCACTGTTATGGGAGGTGAATAAGCAGAAAAGACTTATGGGGGGAAAAAAAAGCAAAAGAATGAAGAGTCCAAATTTGAAATTTTTTGGTAGTGAGAGGAGGGAGTATGTGAGAAGAAAATCAAGAGAAAGACTGAATGATGAATATGTGATCCCAACAGTTAAATATGGTGGTGGGTCTGTTATGGTCTGGGGGTGTTTTGGAGGAGAGAGAGAGGGCTGGAGATTTAATTTATGCCAAGGGAATCATTAAAAAAGAACAATATCATTCAATTTTGCAAAGACATGCTATACACATAATTGGAAAAAAAAATCATCTTTCAACAAGACAATGATCCAAGATACTTTTTAAAAATATGTCAAAATTATCTCAAGTCAAAGAAAAGGAACAAAATTTTGGAAATTATAACTTAGTTGCCTCAATCTCTTGACCTCTCACCTATTTAATTAGTATGGGATGAATTGGACAGGAGAGTTCAAAGAGAATACATAAAGAGTGAGAGTGAGCTTTTACAGTGCTTGAAGAATGCTTGAAAAGGTCGGCAATCTACTTTTTTTCAAAAACTGTCAGAAAGAATGCCAAGAAATTGTAAAGTAGTAATTAAAGCAGGTGGTGGTTTTATTGACAAAAACAAAATATGAGGTTCTTGTATGATATTTTTTTTTATTGTAAAGTGTTTATTTTTGTCAAAATAAAAGCTAACACATTGTAGTTAATTTTAACTTTTACTTTAAAAAATACAAAAATATGACATTTTAAGGTATTTTTTCAAGTGGCCCCAAACATTTTGTCTATATTGCATATACACATCCAGACATATATCAATCAAACTCATATCCATACAACTGAATATGTAACTATCACTGATATTGAGCACTTTACACTAAGTAAACAAACACACACACACATATATACATGCAAACATATACAAATATATATATATAAGTAAACCTAGAGAGCCAGACAAACCTACCTAGGTTTCACCTACACAGATTGATACGCATAGGTGAAACCTAGGTAGGTTTGTCTGGCTCTTTAGGTTTACTAAGTTTGCTCTACTTAGCATATTGAGCACTTTGCTTAGTTATTTTTACTTTACTCATGTCAGAGGTTTTTTTCTTTGGACTCTGAACTTTGATTCTAGATGATTATTTTCGCCAGAAGTATATGCTCTTAGTTCTTTTTTCCCCCCTTTTTCCCCCTTGGGTACTGGTTTGTTCATTTACAAACTAAAGCACCTAAGGTTTGCTAGACAAGTATAGCTGCTTATATTTATAAGATTATTAGTATTATATATATATATATATATATATATATATGAAAATTTCTCCGATTTAACCAGTAGAGAAGACAATATTTATGAATAAAAATGACAATAGGAAAACTAGTAATTGGTGACGCGTTTTGTCCAATGTGGACTTTATCAAAGCAAAATCCGAAATGAATATAATTTAACAAAGTAACTAATAAAAACAAAAACAGAATGTTACTAGCAACTAAAATGTAGAGAAACGCAATTTTCATATTGTTAACTGAAAATAACATCAGTATATGTCACGTGTGGAGAATATTGTCATTATATCTGTGTTGATGTATTTTGCTTTGATAAAGTCCACATTGGACGAAACGCATCAGCAATTACTAGTTTTCCTATTGTCATTTTCATTCATAAATATATATATATATAGTACAGGTAATAGATCTGTTTGTATATTATCCAGGTGGATCCTAGTAATATCAAATATAAAAACTGATCCATAAATAGTGCTGAAGGTATTTATAACAGAGCATATATATTACACAGCAACAAAACCAAAATTATACAATTTCTCTCTACTTTCTACAGTGTAACCCAGATATGAGAGAAACCCGCATATAAGAGTGATTTTCTCTGGTCCCAAATTAGAGCCATACTTACCTAAACAAAATAGACAAAACCCGGATATAAAAGAAACCCGGATATAAGAGACTTCTTCTCCGGTCCCGACAACTCTCTTATATCCGGGTTACACTGTATATTAATCATGTCTTATAACAGTCTCTTAATTTATGCAATCTCCTTTGATTAAACTTTTTATTTTTTATTTTTTTTTGTCTGTTTTTAAAGAATTTCAGGTATAGCTCGGTCTTCCTAATAATTTAATCTATCCTTAAAGTTAAAACCCTTAAATCTATTCTTTCTTTATATTAATTGTCTAAATACGATTTATTGTTAATCTTATTAATACATATTTGTTGTTAGTATTTGGTATTCCTTAGCGGGGAACCTAAATTCCTTTATATATAATTAAAGGTTTTGGTCATGAATAAACTCCCCTTTTGGCCCTTCTTTTAGTTTCAACACCTCACTCTTCATATAACTCCCAACTTAGGATCATAAGGTTAATATCAGGGTTGATTCCTGTGGGCCTTTTTCCCACCATTTTTAGAGAGATACCTCCAGCCCTCTCCCTACCACCAACACAAGCTTTTCCCAAACTGGTATCTTAACTAAATTCTAAATCCCTGATTCCAAGACAAGTCCAGTCCAGGGTTGAAGAAGATTGCCATAAGATTGTGGTGGCAGAAATAAGCTACACCCACATGAGGTAATTTGGGATTTTTTTTTGCTGTGTATTTTATATATATATATATATATATATATATATATATATATATATATATATATATATATACACACACACATATGCAAACATGTACAAACAATACATACACAACCACACAAATGAGAATGTTTATCATTGAAGTTTTTCTCAAAAAAGGTAGGATTTATAAATTAGAGTTAATATAGTCAACTTACGAGTATTCTCCATAACCACAGATATTTCCACGTGTATCAGTTGGATAGACAAGTCTTCGAGGATCTCCATGTACAAATCCTGCAAATTAAAATAAAAGCAAAGAGTCAGTAATTAATAGAGAGAGAAAATTAAGAGAAATTAAGGTTAATAATAATCTTAATTATCATCAAAGGTATTTTCACACCAAGCAAGGCAATAACACCCCTAAGACGCAAGGAGAATGAAAAGACTTTAGAAGGAACTGGAAACCAAATCTTAAACAGGAAACAAGAGGTAAATCTCTACCCCTGTTCAAAAAGTTGAGGATGTGTGTGAACCGATCTGTTATTATTGAGGAAAAATAAGTAAACAAATAATAAAATAAAATTTCAGAGTTCAGACGGATATGTGAGAAATTGAGGTGAAGTTGATTTTAGAAGGAACCAGAAGCCCAATCCTAAACAGCAAACAAGGGATAAACCTCTACTCCTGTTCAAAAGATCAGGGAGGAGTGTGAACCAGAAATATATGAGATGATGAAAAGTCCTCAGTCCAACTAAGAAGGAATTAAGAAATTCTGATGTTTGATCATTTGGTTTGATTGGCAGAACTAGGAATTTTTTAGCACACCATCATATTATAAGACATGCTGAAGTAGACATCTACACTGATTACTTATTTTTACAGATACTATCTCTTTGCTATAGACAGTGACGTCCTTCCATCAAGCAAATGATGATCACTGAAGTTAAGCAACATTGAGCCTGGATGATACCTACACCCTTGTGCAAATTAAATGAAACAAAATGAATAATACCATTATTATTTTTTTTTGTATTTTTCCAATGAAACATGACCCAGTGCACATGTTAGTACTTCATATATCCATTTCACTAAGTCATTCCTTACAGATTGACAACAGATTCTTGATTGGATTGAAATCAGGAGAGTTTCTGGGCCAGTCTATAGTACTTTGATTTGCTAACTGGTAAGGCTTGCCATTGTGTTTATGCAGCATTAAAATTTTTGTATGCTTCCTTGGAGTAATGTCCATCACAGACAATGATCATAGGACAACTAATTGACAGTCAAGACAATCGTGTCTGGGTGTGATAAAAATCTGATGCAATCATAGATGATGCAATATTTTTCAAGGTCAAACAAATTTCATCATACAACCCAAAAATAGATTCATATTACTGTACACTACTGCAAATGACCTAATCTGAGGTAAAATAGAAATCGATTATACCCTGTCACTCCATGGGGTTTAAAACTGACTGTATGGTGTAAGAAAGGAAACTAAAGTGGTTGTTTCAATTAATTTGCACAAGGGCGTAGATAGATGACTGTTTAGGAATACCAGGTGCAGCTGGTGTAGTGGATAATAGCTCCAAATTGGAAAATGGAAAGCAGCGTTCAAATTAAAAAGAAAAAAGATGAAAATAAATATCAATGGCTGACAATGCTTCACCTAATAAACGATGAAGATGAAAGTAAATACTAGTCAAAAATTAATAATGACTGACAATGCTTCATCTAATAAAAAATGAAGTTGAAAGTAAATACTAGTTAAAAATTAATAATAATGGTTGACAATGCTTCGTCTAATAAAAAATGAAGTTGAAAGTAAATACTAGTCAAAAATTAATAATAATGGCTGACAATGCTTCATCTAATAAAAAATGAAGATGAAAGTAAATACTAGTTAAAAATTAATAGTAATGGCTGACAATGTTTCACCTAATAAAAATGAAGTTGAAAGTAAATACTCGTCAAAAATTAATAATACTGGCTGACAATGCTTCACCTAATAAAAAATGAAAATGAAAGTAAATACTAGTTAAAAATTAATAATAATTACATACAGAAGAGTATTTTTGTTATAATCACAGGTAATGTTAATCGTTATTTTAATAGTGCTTGGGACTAACTGTTTTTTATAAGTTCAATAATGCAAAGTTGCTTATAACAGTGAACCCAAAATGTTAAAGTCTTTATATCTTCTGCTTAATAATCAGCCAGTTATTATTATTTTCCCCAAAATGACCACAAGGAGTAGCTACCTATGTACTTCTAAAACATCAAATAATATTTATATTAGACTAATAACAAGTTTCATGTTGGCCATGTTTATTAGAACATAACAGTTCTGGGAACATTTGTACAAGATAAGTCATGACATTTCATCCGTATGGTCTGTAATTGTATTGAAAATGTTGCTGCCATAAGATTATAGTCTTTGTAGTCAGAGCCAATAAAAATCAATAACAGTTAGAAATCAATAATAGTTCAGTGTAGTAATGTCACAATAACCAGGCAAAGATAAGTAAGGCATATATACAGTTTCAAATAAGGTAAGACTTGTGGTAGTTATTTTCCAAGCTTAATTATGGTACCATACTACAATATGGGGTACCATGTGAAGATGAAAAGGCACTAGTGCTCAGTAACAATGCTTTGCCAGAATTACATGCCAACCATTGCTCCACAGTGACCCTGCACAATAGAACCAAGTGGGTATTTTTGGGTTTTGTTTCCTTTGAATGGAGCTTACAGCCACTTCCACAGAGTTGAACCATCCTTATTTCCCCTGTGTTCCAAATGTAAGAAGACAGCACCACTCAGTTTTTTCAAGAATTGCAACTTTGTGAAACAAACAAATTCACAATTCTTGAAAAAAAAAATCAATTATAGAATTGCATTAATGTCATTTGCACTTAAGAGGAAGATTAAAAGAAAATATTCAAATTCCTAATTAAAAAATAGGGATTTATCCAATTTAAACATCTTTTTTTTTTGGAGGGGGGGATTTTTATTGTCACAAATGGATTCAGCAATTAAATTGTTTTAATATTTGGGAACTTACACTAAAAAGGAGAAAAGATTTTGTCTCCAACAGTTTTTATTAGCATTATTTGAAGTTGATCAAACCCAAACTCAAACAAAAAACATTGTTTTCAATCGTTATGAGTCTACTGATTGAATAGAATTTTATTATAAACAATTGTCTTGTAAATGGAATTTTAAAGCATTCTGAATGTAAAAAATAAAGAAAAAAGTGTGCAAGACAATAAGAAACACTACCTGCCACAAAAAAAAAAGTGAAGTTTTGTTGAAATCGGTTGAAAAATGTAGGAAATCCGATCCCATATATAAACCTGGGTTTTCTAATAAGTTTAACTCGATAACTCGATATTATAAAAACTCAATATTACTAAAAAGTATAAAATGATATGAGTTGTCCCCCTTTCATTAATGCCTCTTAATCGTGTTTTCAAATTGATTTCATGCAAAAACAATTGTGTTTTTCCAATTTTTGGCACTGTCAGAACCACCGCAAGGTAATTTTACATAGTCCTGTGAAGTTTTGTTGAAATCGGTTGAAAAATGTAGGAAATCCGATCCAATATATAAACGTACAGATACACACACACACAATCTGCGTTTTATAATAAGTAAGATTAGGTTATTTTTGAAAGTGCGCCAAGCTGAACCTGTCACTTCACTAAAAGACAAAATTGTTTATTTACATTATTATGCCAGATGCCTTCATCAGTCCTATTCTAATATTTTCTTTTCTCACACTTCTCACCTGTGAAACTCCCTTCTGATTTCTTGCTTCCCTGCCAATTACAATCTTCAAAAATTTAAATGCAACATAAAATGCCATCGTCTGTCTTCCTGAACACTTCCTTTATTGTGCTTTTCCTCATAAAGTCCTCCCATTCTCTTTCACTCACTATAACCTCCTGTGTCGTAGTGGTATGGCTTAGGGTTAATTTTTTTTATATTTCCCTTTTAATTTTTTTTTATATATATATATATATATATATATATATATATATATATATATATATATATATATATATATATATATATATATATATATAGATAGATATATATAGATAGATAGATAGATAGTTAAACCTAGAGAGTCAGAGAAACCTATCAAGGTTTCACCTAAGCGGATCGTCAGGGAAGGCTGCCCAAGGTGAAACCTGGGTAGGTTTGTCTGGCTCTCTAGATTTAACTAGGTCTGCTCTACTTACTGTATTGAGCACTTTATTTAGTTATTTTACTTACTCGTATCGGGGTTGTTTTCTTTTGGCTTTGGACTTGCATGCTAGACGATTACTTTTGACTAACGTATTATATTCTTGGCTCTTTCTTTTTTTTATACTTTTTTCCCCTTTGGTATTGGTTTGATTATTTTCAAATCAAGACACCAAAGGTTTTCAAATGAGTATAATTTCTTATACTTATAAGATTATTACTACTATTATATATATATATATATATATATATATATATATATATATATATAATTATTTATTTAAAAATATTGATTCAACTACATAAGAAAGGTCTCATGTTTCAAAACCAGAGGCGAAAACTTAAAATATAATTATTTGAATTAAATTGAGTTAGGAAACTCTGTTCCATCTTCAAGCTTAAATTTTATGGAACAGAGCTTACTTTAACTCAATTTAATTCAAATAATTATATTGAAGTTTTCGGCTTTTGTTTTGAAACATAAGACCTCTTATGTCATGAGTTGGAATCATATTTTTAAATAAATAATTATATTTATGCTCTACTTTTTGTATCGAAAGCACTATATTTTAAAAATAATAACTAAAATACTAAGGGAACTCTGGATTATTTACCTAACCAGTTCTTTCCTATTTTCTATATATTTTCACACACACACACACACATATATATATATATATATATATATATATATATATATATATATATATATATATATATATATATATATATTTAATAAATCTGTTTTTTAATAAATTCCGGATACTCGGATTCCATGTATTGATGTTAAAGGATGAGAGAAATTTATTAATTTCTCTCATCTTTTAACATCAATACACAGAATGATATCCGTGAGTATGAATGGATTTTATTAAAAATTAGCAGACATAATGTCTGTAATTTATTTAATCAGACATGCCTAAAAGAGAATTTTCTGCCTAAATACACAAATTTTAAAATATATATATATATATATATATATATATATATATAGAGAGAGAGAGAGAGAGAGAGAGAGAGAGAGAAAGAGAAATATTTAAATA